TTATAAAGGTAACACCAGTGCTGTAGTGGCAGACTGCAGCAGAAGATGGCCCCTTCGACTAATTGAAAGGCTACAGCCATCTCACACAATCAGCCAGCTCCGTCTGTGATTATAGATGTGACTTGGTGTCCCAGAATACAAATCTGCCATGGACTCCAAATCCTCCGGTGCCTCTTTAAGATCTGGCAAGGATGACCAAGATGAGCTTCCAGCCTCCTCAGAGTCCTCATTATATGTGCCGGTAAGAACTTGTGTTTTCTGCTCCAACTTCCCCCACGTTTTAATGATTGCACATCCGCCATCGGCTTGGCTTGTTTTCTGCCTCCCAACTAAACCGGCAAAACGCATCAGGTGGAGACTAATGCAGATCGGGGAAAACCTCAGCTTCAAACCGGTGAAATGAGCTCTTGTTAGAGCTCTCGTTGGTGCCCTTTTCTGAGCTGACCTCTCTGACTCACAGTTATTCTCCGCTCAAATGAAATATCAATAATTGCACTTTTTAACAGCTTCACTGAGACAGAATGTGTCATTTGACTCAAATCATGCTTGTTGAACTATTTTTTTCCATCACTTGCCACTAGTAATGGCGATGCATTTAATTTTTTTGCTTGTGTCTGATGTGTGTGCATTTGTCTGTTAGCAAAATATCTCATGAACCACTTGGGAGATATCAGTGAAACTCTCAGAATGTAATCACTGGATTCATCATCTACAAGTTATTAACTTAGGAGTCAATCTGATCTAAGACGGCCGCGACAGCTAATTGAGGTTAGCAAACAAAGAAATGGCTTTAACTTGGTTAATTTTACAGATATTTAACTAAAATTTGTTGTGGTAGTAGCCGAGAGTCTGTCTTAACCATACTTTAGGCTAAACAAATCTCTCAGTATTCTGTGAGATTGTGCGACAAAAACAGTCATGACAGCCTTTTTAATCACACAATAATTTAGTTTAATAATTTAACATCAAAATGGTAGGTGATAAGCATTTCTTTAAGAAATGCTAGGTCTTTGATTTAAAAAATCTTGACGTGTGTTTGTTGTGAACTCGACTTTTGGTTTGCATCATTTGCATACCTATTGCTATGAGTTCGCCAACGTTTAAGACACATTTGAACATTTATGGCTCGTAACCTCTTATCAACACAAGGATTTTCAGAAGGACACACATGTATCTGCTGATAAACATGGGAAAACGATAAGATGTGAAACTAACAAAGTGAAATACCTCAAATTAATTGAAACGCACGCAAAAGCTCTGAAGATTTAGTAAAAAAAAGATGTGAAATAGTCTGAAATCTGCTGCTGATTCGGTGTAGCGTGTTTTCCTGCAGTATGTCATTTTTATTACAAGAAGCAGCATGTACTGCAGTCACACACACGCACGCACACACACACACACACAGACAGGGAGCTACAAGATGTTTGATCACTGCCAAGCCAAAGCATGCAACATAAGATAGTTTTCACATGAACACAGATGCATTACATGTGTCAACAGGAAGGTTCACCAGTTTCCAACATGGGGACGACCCTATTCTACACACACTGATGTTTTATGGAAGTTTTTTTTTTTTTTTCCACAAATAAGTCAACATTACTCACATATTTGCACATTTTGAAACCAGTGTGACCACACTGAGGAAGACAAGCCCGAATGAGGTGAGCATGAGCCATGATGGGTGCAATGAGGTGCAGGTGCTGTGTGACGTGAACGTGAGGATGAAACGATGACCAACAAATTACTGACAACAAAGCAGAGATACAGAAATCAATCTCAACAGAACACAGCTTTCTAAAAGAGATAAGACGCGACGGGAACAGGAAAAAAAGGACAAAAAATAAAACACAAGCTGCTTTCTGTCTCAAACCCAGGGGGTCTGACTTTGAAGTGGTTTGCTTCAGAGGTTTGACGGGGGAAGCGTTTTGAGAAGTTCGATGCTTTGACAAGTTAGCAAAGCCTTTCTGCTGTGCTCTTTGTTAATGGCCCCTCAGCACAAAGCAATCTGAAAACACAACAAGCTCAAACACCTTCTATCAAGTAACCCTTCTGAACTCTGATGGATTATTCTCTTTGTTCTCTCTAAGTCCACTTCACCTTTATCCTCTTGTGAAAGTTGTGCTTCTCTAAGCACTGCTTATAGCAATTCTTCTTATATTTAATCAATTCATCAAAGGGATTTTGCCACTGCATACTGTAGATGATCGGGGGTTTGTGATTTAGTTGCGGGCTTTGCTTGGATATTATTTTTTCTACAATCCTAGTTCCAAAAAATGTGGGAATGCTGTGTAAAATGTAAACAAAAACAGAAGGCAATATTTGCTAATCTCATTTAAAAAAAAAAAAACATTTTTTCATTCACATTGGAGCATAGCAAATATATGTTTAAACTAGACACGTTACCATTTTGTTCCTGGATCCATACAGTGATGTCCAGAACAGAATGCCTGAATATCTTGGGGATCCAAAATTTATTTTTAGTCTATTCTTTTGAGAAATTTATTTAGATGCTTGAAGCGTCTTTATTCTTGTTTTGATGATATTATGAACTGAAAGTGTTATGATTGTCAAATTCTTCCACATAGTTCTATTGAGAAACATTGCTCTGAAATTGTTTCACTATTTTATAAGCAGTTTTGTGTAGATGGTGAACCTCTGCCCATCTTTACTTCAAAATCATGTAGCCTCTAAAATGTTTTTATATCCAGTCCTCTTGCTGACGTGTTGCAAAATGCTCCTTTAGCTGTTTCTTATTTGTACCACTTACTTTCACCGCCTTGTGGGGCCTCCCATGTGTCAATTGTTTTGAGATATTGATGTCATCAAATTCAAAATTATCTTTATTGATAAAAGTTTTACAGTTTATGGGTTTATACAATTTTCAAATCATTGCATTCTGTTTTATCTTTTATACAATGGCCCAACTTTTTCTGGATGGAGGCCGTACTTTCCTTCACTGACTTTATACCTCACAGACTTCCAAGTTGTTTAAAGTGCAGGTGTTGATCTTCTACTACTTATTGTATCCAGCTCTGTGGAAACTGTTATTTGCTGTCAATGACTAATTTACTTATATATAATTGTATGTCAAGCAATGCAGTAAAGCAATTATGTGAAAGGTGTGGCCTACAACAAACAAATCATTTTCTGGTGGATGACTTAATTGATATTAATGTGCCTTGGCCAGATGAGTGCTGCGATTTTCAGCACTACTCTAGTGGTCGAGTTTGACAATACAATACTTGTAGTCTGCCTTTTTAGGGCTAAATATTCACTATTATGCTTTTTAAATCACTTATTGAGTTAATACTCCATCCATCCATCCCTCCATTATCTTTACCCGTTTATTCCATTTTGGGTCACGGGGGTCGCTGGTGCCCATGTCCACCAATCACTGTGCGAGGGGCGGGGTAAACCCTGGACGGGTCGCAAGTTCATCACAGGAGTTAATACTCATGCAAACTTAATCATTGGTTTTCATAATTTTTTTTATCAATTTTCCAATTGATCAGCACACTGGGTGCAAAATCTAATTAACTTTAAAGCTTTTAATCTGACCTGAAAGCCTTTTACAATTGCAAACCATGCTATATGGAATTTATTTCTTACATTATCATTTACATTAAAAACGTTGCTAGAACCATCTTCTTCCACCTGTGTAATATTGTTAAAAGTTAAAATTAAAACATCTTATCTACAAAGTTATGCAGAAAAATGGTTCATGCATTTGTCACATCTAGACTGGACTATTGCAATGGTTTTAATCTGGGTGTCCAAATACTTATTTAAAAAGTCTTCATTTAATCCAAAATGCTGCTGCCAGAGACTTAACTGGAGTTAGTAGGAGAGATCATATCTAAAGTTTTAGCTTCTCTCCATTGGCTCCCTGTCAAACTCAGAATTGAATTCAAAATCTTACTTCTAACCTACAAAGCCCTCAACAACCTAGCTCCATCTTGTATTACAGATCTTACTGTTCCATATTTTCCTAACGGAGCACTTTACTCTCAGACTGCAGGCTTACTCGTGGTTCCTTGAGTTTCCAAAAGCAGAATGGGAGGAAGATATTTCAGTTATCAGGCTCCTCTCTTGTTCATTCATTCAACCTTTATTTATACAGGCTAGTCTTATTGAGCCACAATGACTCAGTTACAAGAGGGACCTGTTCAAGACAGAACATATAAAGTACAGACAACAATAACAGTAAAACTTGTGGAGCCAACTTCCAGTTTCTGTCCGTAAGGCTGACACATTGTCCAGTTTTAAGACTGGGCTTGACTTTCCTTTTTGATAAATCCCATAGTTAGTGTTGGCTTGTTATGCTGCTATAGGCTTAGACCACTAGAAACTACTAGAGCACAAATTGACCTTGTTTCCTTAAATGAATTGTTAAAATTGAATAATTTTCATTTGATACTATTTCTATCTTAACATGTGATTCTCGACCTGCCATTGTGTATCTGTTCCTACCAAACCCAGCTGGTTGAAGCAGATGGCCGCTTGTCCTGAGCCTGGTTCTGCTAAAGGTTTCTTCCTCATGAGGGAGTTTTTCCTTTCCACTGTCACCTTCATGCTTGCTCAAGATGAGAGTTCTGCATTGGAGTTAAATTCAAAGCAGTCTGCTCCTCAGATAAATAGTGTTAACTTATTTTTTATATATATGAATGTTTCTGTTCAGTGTCTTGAGATGACTTCTGTTGTGACTTGGTGTTATATAAATAAACTGAATTGAATTGAATCTCTCCTATATTGGCTCATTATCAGTTGGAGAGCGACACCCACCCCCTAAAAAATTACAAAACAGTAAAAAGACTAAACAAAACCTTGAAGCGTTTACAACCACTTCAACTTAGACTCCACTTCCAGGGTTGTTGCTAGGCTTTGCTACTGAAGCGCTGCTACTAAGAGGATGCATGAAAACAGGCTGCAATTAAGATTTATGGAAAACGAATTTTCTAAAATAAATAAATTGCGATGTTACTAGGGTTGAGTTGTCTTACCTGGGGACACAGGCTGTGGAGGTCTCCCCTTCGGGTGCTTCCGGGGCTGGACAGCAGAACTGGTGAAGCACTGTTGGGTTGCTGTGTGAAAAATGAGAAGAGCAAATAAATCACAAAATTAAAACTTGAAATAAAATCTGAGATTTTAGCTTTTAGTAATGCTTTCATTATGATTTTTTTTTACATGCTGTACCTTGTGACCATCACCCAAAGAATACCATAATCAGTTTGGCAAAATATAGGGGTGCATTTAGAATATTAACAATTAAATAAATAAAAATATGAAGCCAACAGAAACTTTTTTAAAAGATTAATGTTTGTTTTTTTGGTGAGTTCTGGGGAGTTTATATGATAAATGAGACTCACCTATGCAATAAACATGAGAGACTTAGAGTTGGTATTAGAATATATATTTTATTTCAAAGAAGCAAATCACCAAAAATGCACATTTCTGCTTCTTGGAGAGATAAGCTCACAGTGAGGTTGAGTTTAGGTGTTTCAGCACCATGGACAGAGACAAACATTCGTCTTTGCTTCATCTTTTTATAGAGATTCTGTTATTTTACTGCTCGGGTCTTTGCTCATTGGGGAGGAGTGTGATGCTGAAATGGAAAGAGCATGGATCTAAAATTTTAATGTGCATGCCAGAAAGCTTTATCCTGTTTATGTACCGTTTGCTCTCTATTTTCGACTGGACACTGTCTTGCATTTCAAATACCCAGTATCACTCCAACCTCCACTGTCCTTTCTTTTGCGTCTTCTTACACCAATTCTTCATCACTCTATGAGACTCCCATTCCACCCCGCACCACCCCTATGATGACTCCTGCAGACATCTTCTCTCTGTTCTGCTGCAGAACAGAACAGAAAGAAGGGCAAATGCAAAAAACTTTATCAAGCCAATTGTTGCTGGAGTATCTGAAAAACTGAAAAATTATTTTTCTCCAATCACAACATCCCAGTACATTTTAAACCCAACAGGACCCTCAGACAGAAGCTGGTCCATCCAACAGAACCCCCACACTAAGCAGGTTGGTGTCTGCAGTTCAGTGTAGTGAGGAATGTTCAGACCTCTACATTGGAGAAACGGAACATCTCCACAGACACATGGTTCAACTCAGTGGTCCGCCTACATCTCAAGGATAAGGGACATGCTGCTGAGGACGAAAATGTTTGTATTTTAAAAAAAACAGATGGTTTGGAGGGCAGGGAGCTATTTACCGGTACGTCAAACAAGAAAAAAAATAACTTTAAACACAGGAGGAGGTCTCAGAGTTCAACTTTCAATAACTTACATTGCAGCTTTAGGCCTAATTCCCAGTCAGATCCACTACAATTGCACCTTCATGAATGTGACCAAAACATCTCAGAGATCCAGGCAAAGAGCCTAATTTGTGCATAACACTGTGACACTGCGAGTAGTTCCAGTCTAACCTGCAGCTGAATGTAAGAACAAACCAGGCCTCTCACGCAGATCTATGAATCTGTGAACTCCACACACTCCAGACATGTTTGAACTGATAAAGCCTCCTGGATGGGAAGTAAAACATCTTCACCTTCAGAATAGAAGTCCAGTTGTTTTTGATTTTAACTTTTTTTGGATTGATCATGACCTGGATGACTCATCTTCACCAGCATATAGCTAAACAATGTACCCAAACATGAGGGGCAGGCACATGCACAATCTCATGTGAGATTGCCTCACTGATGCCTCAAAGCAATAAGTTCCTGGGTTCAATCTCTGGGTTGGGTCTTTCTGTGTGCAGTTTGCATGTTCCTCTCGTGTTTGTGCGAGTTTCTTCCGGTTTTCTCCCACAGTCCAATAAACGTGCATGTTTAGCCTGCCTTCAAGCCCAAGCCTCCCTTGAAAAAGAATATCTGATCTCAGTGGGATTTGCCTGATCAAATAAAGATTAATAAAATAAATAAAGTGTTAGCACTCAAAGTATGCATTGAGAATGACTTTCAGCTACTACCATAACAAAATTTACTTTATAACTGTAAAACTGACTGGGTCATAGACATTTTCTGTTGGCTAAGTTCAATTATCTGTTTAGGCCATCCTGAATGGCTTTTATTCTGAAAATTAAAGAACTGTCCCTGCACATCTTCTGATTACTTTGAAAGTTTCATTACAATTTGTTCAGTGGTTCAATAGATATTTTTCTAACACTAAAAACACTCACAAACAAGCAAAAATAAAAAGCCTAAAAGTCAAAGTTAAAGCTGACATTGACCAACCCATTAAAGCAACACCGCCTTCTTTCTCTCTTCCTGGGAAGAGGGAGGTGGCTGCGTGTTTTCAAGCCACAATAGCAGACAGGACAGGGTGGGTATGACAGCAAATTAATTTTCATTGTTAATGGCTCCTCTAATTGTGTCCGCTTGAACAGCCGTGACACTGCTGTGGACAGTTTTAATAGGTCCAGAACACAGGCGGTCTCCAGGGGGACACAGATTAGTGAGAGTGTTGGAACAGCAGAGACACTCGTTCCACACAGATAAAGGTTGTACGTTCTGCTCGTCAGCAAGAAAACTCCAATCAGCCGGTTTACATTGATACTGCTGTGATCTCACACTAAACTGTAAAGAAAAGAAGTCGATACATATCATTAAATAGATGTTTTTAACAAAATCACAAATTATCAATCATTGTAGTGTTGATGCTGAAATATTCCTTTATCAATGTTTATTTCAGTGTCGCTTTAAAGCTCCTGGTTCTTTGTGTGGACACATGATCTTTAAACCTGTTTAATCAGCCACAGTATTTAATTAGTGGGTATTTTTTTACAGGGGAGTGAGATGCCTGTGAGGGTGACACACGTATACAGTGGGTGATGCACTGATGCAGTCATCATATCCCACAATTATCCCCACTTTGGCTGACCTTGAGGAAATCTGAGTCACTGATTTCACCAAATTTAGGGGAAAAATGTCTCACAGGGAAGTAATGTGAGAAAGCGAGGGAACTCTTTTTATCTTTTAAAACCCTCTTTATTCCTTGCAGTCATCTCGTTCTGCTTTGATCTTTTGCTTCACACATTTTTCTCTCTGTTACATTTGACATCTCTTCTACTATCACCTACATCTTTCATCTAAAAAAAATCTTTTGAAAACTGTGCATAGCCATTTTTTGGGGCTTTTAATGGAACATGTGTGCTGCAGCTGTTCAAGCCATCCTGAGTAAAGAGCTGCAAATCAATGCAATTGACTTGTTCCTGTGTTTTTGGATTATGCTCTACAACACCTTTTCTCCATGACTCTGGATTAAAAGATTTGCAGAAGAACAAATTCTTTCCTTGAATATGGACTGACCTCAGAGTACACAGTTCAATCAATGTTGGTGTGGAAGATAAAAATGAACTCGCATGACCTGCTTTTTGATCTTCTGCATCGTTGACTCTCATGGCCTAAACCCACTACAGAACCACCTATTAAAATAAGCTTTTCCACACATTGCATCTGTGACAGGGAGAACACAATTTGCACACAACACTTCCATGGGATGTTGCTTTAACTCTTTGTGTCTAATGTGTTTGCCAATGCGGCCTTCTTTCAACTTGACTGCATCAGTGGATTTCCTTCCAATTCCACTTGACTCAATGAAGAAAGCAATAAAACAATTTACCTTAAAGCCCGGGGTATTATCTCAATAACTTACAGGTTAGTTATTTTATTAAACTGAAAGAAATCAGGGATGACAACGAGTCTTTAAAACACATTACTATGCTTGTGACCATAAATATATGTGCCTTATTCTCACTCTGCTCACAGAACTGATAAAGTATTAGTGAGTGTAGGAGATGTGGTCTTGTCCCTGGTGTCGTGTTTATGTCTGTTCTCCCTTATCCTCTGTTTCTCTTTATAGGGTTTGTGTTTCTCTAGTTAGTATCTAGCCCCATCTTGTGTTGTGTTCAGGTCTTGTATCCTTTCTCCTTCTTTGGCATCTGTGATTACTCACAGGTGTCATTATCTGGTCTAGTTGGTGTTTCATGTATATAAGTCTGCGTTTCTGTGTTAGTCCTTGTCCTGGCATTGTTTATCTGTTTACTGGTGATGACCCGTCTGTATTGTGAGTACCCACTGTTCATTCTATGTTTTGCTGCCCTGTCAGCTCTTTTGTTCTGTTAATAAATTCTTTATTTTACATATTTCTGAGTCCTCGCCTGCTTGCCTGCATCACTGGTTTCACCAGCACCAGCCAATTGTGACAGTAATTAGGATCACCAAGGGGCAAAAGACAAACTTTCCATGGGAAGTTAAGCTGGGGAAAAAAATGAAATATTCCATATTAGAAATAGCGCCACTTTACCTCTGTTCGCATGATACAAAGTTAAAACTGATTTTTTTTTTTCTTTTAGTCAAGTTTTTTTCTAAAATATCTTATCATCAGCTATATTTATGATATCTCTATATATTTTTATCCCCATTATTTCCTGTAAACTTTCCTATGGAAAGTTTCTAACTTGAAAATTCCTGGAATTTGACAACCCTAGTGAGGATCCCAAATGACCTCGTGAGGGCTGCAGGTGCTGGCTCTCCATCATACAGTGTTAGTACAAAATGTATTGTATGTACACAGCCCTTAACAGTTCTTAAACATTTTAAATCTGGTAACTTTACAAATCAAATTTCTGAGAGGCACTTTAGTTATCGTACACATTAAAAGAAAATTTATGTTTTTAAAATACGCCAATTCCATTCTTACTATATAGGCTGGGAGCTTGGGAGAAACCCAATGAAGACAAATATTGAAAGTGATTTTTACCAAATAAAAATATTTTTAATTTATTCTAAGCGGTTTATCAATTTGCAAGCATTGCTTTTTTTTTTGACACACTGCTACGTTTTTCTACATGTGATGAGTGAATAAAAATAAAAAAAAACATTCCTGAAATCTTTGCTGTACTTCTGCATGGACACCAGGACTTTTCCAGGTAGCTGGAGACAAGCAAGAGAGCAAGACTCAGATATTCAAAAGAAAACTAACAAACGAGGAGAGAAAAACATTTAGACCTCATATTTAGTAACTAGAAGAAAATGTTATTACCAGAACAGATCAGTCTTTTATTCACAAAAGT